CATACTAGATATGTTGACCATTAAACTTGTTCTGTTCAGGCAGCAGGAAGACGCAGCAAAGGCGGTTCAATTCCTCGTTCTCAACAGCGAAGGTTGTGAAGAATCATTTCAGTTTGAAAAGAAGACATTATCTGCACTTCGGTCATTAATTTGCTGTTACTTGGCCTGCGATGAGCAAAATCAACTAGTAGCCAATAACAGAGCAGATATTCACCTGCAGCGGAGAGTATTTACCAGGGTGAGCTGTACTTCTTTTTGTGTTTGCACATTTACTACACAGAATATTGCGAACTAAAGTCATGAAATAGATCAGAAAGTGAAAGTCGGAATACAAAACACGGATGGCAAGTTAGTTCACTGCAATCCGATTAGCATCGGCATCGGCGATTTTGTTGATGTTGCTGCTACTGCAGATATCGCTATGTACTAAAGGGGTGGAAAATGTGTAGTGCAAGTGCATTTCGTGATGCAGGATGTGGTACGGTTGTTATCTGCTTCGCAAACCAAGGTTAGTATGATGTGATCAAACAGTTATTGTATGAACTAAAAATTGCACGTTATTGTTTGTGCAGGACTTTCGGCCATCGATCTCTTCGTTACCATCCATCAATCATGATGAAGCTGGGCAAGCCCAGTCTGTGCCAAGTGTTCATTTGTGGATCGACACAGGCTTATTCAGTGCACATGAAGGAGATCTCAGCCCAGAGCATATGAGTGGAGTGAGATTATGAGAAAAGGTGTCTGCCAGAAACTCGTACTGATATGTTCAAACTTGTGGGGAGTGGGCCATTGCTTTGCATGGCAGGAACGATTTCTGAGGTTCTGTGTTCCTCTCTTTCTCTCATCATCTAATTGCTTTCCCATACTTTAATCATTTTGTATTACTCCTTAGTAGTTGATTACTTGTGAAAAATGATCCATTGCATTGCATAGCATGTTGTATTTTTATTAGGTATTTATGTCAAGGTTTCATCATTTATATTCACTTAAAACAGTCACTTTAGGTGAAAATCTAGTAAAATTTGATGTTATACTAATAAGTATAAAGAATGCAAGTCTTTCTTGTTAGAGTATAATTTTTGGTACCTCTGAAACTCTGTTTTTATTCCAAATAAAATTATATAAAAATTCATGTTATATCGATAGCAAAAAGAAATAAAGTATTAGAATGACTTATAATATTATTTAGATACTCTAAGTATCATTAACAACTGCATTACAATATTTTAGTATGCTGTTCATCTAATATTCTACTTACAAATATTTGGTAGCAGTACTGCAATAGTCCAGCATGTCATCTATATGTCTATACAAAAAAGTTACAAGAAAATGCCACTGCTGTTTAAATGAAAGCATTATAATAGTCTATAATGTTATTCAATAACTGGTGTATTGCTTAGTAATATATAGTAACAATATTATACTTATAACTTACTTATAAGATGTCACCTGATTGTAGTTTATAAAAATATTATAGCAATGTATTAGAGTATGCAACACACTTTATAACAATAATATGTTATGTTATCACATGAGTCTTATATGTCAGTTGATATTATAGTATAATGTAAATCATTATTTATTTATAGCTGCCTGATAATAGTTTGACATATTACTAAGTATCTCAGAGTAGGATTATTTAAAACAAACCATATAAGAATGTTACTAAAAATTGTTAGTACATGTCTCCTTAAAAGCACCTTCAAAATTGCTTTAAAATGATACTACTATGTGGTTCTGCAAAAACTATATAAAAATATAACCAAAAAGTGACTAGTATGCATTCTTCAAGACTCAGCCAAAAAATGGCTTTTAAAATGACAATATATGTCATTTTGCAAAAAGTGAATAAGCAATTACTAAAAAGTAACTAGCATGTATTCTTAAAGACTGAGCTGAAAAATGGCTTCAAAATGATATTACTATGTCATTTTATAAAATCTATATAAAACTATAACTAAAAAGTTATTGGTATGCATTCTAAAAGACTCGGCTGAAAAATGGCTTTAAAATGATATTACTATGAGATTTTGTAAAAAGTATATAAAAACATTACTAAAAAGTGACTAGTGTGCATTCTGAAAGACTCAGCTAAAAAGTAGCTTCAAAATGATATTATCAATTTATAAAATGTATATAAAAATATGACTAAAAAGGCATTCATTAATATTCAGCTTACAAGAATCACCTTAGTAGCCTACAATGCACTTCAGGGTACCCTTCTGACCTAGCTCTTAGCTTCAACATAATCTATATTGTGTAGTGGCTAAGAGCCTCTCAGGTGTCAGACAGACCATGGTACCAATACATGTCCCAGGGCATTATATGGGATTACCCAGGGCAAAGGCAGGGCAAAGGCTGGTCCAATGACACAATTATCATATGGGATGTCCTATAGTACTAGGGCATCAATATTTATATCCCAGTATTACTGGTTGTCCCATGGTGCCAGGGGTACATAGGAATGTCCCACTATTCGTAAAAGATGTATTTTCAGGCTATTGTATGGTAGTTTTTTTATACTTTATTCCACTATCATATTATCTAAGCCTTAATTATAAAAACAGTGACTAGAATACTGTAAATAAGTGTCTTATTTGCATTTTATATATGGTGAAATATTTATAAAAAGCAGGATATCCCATATCAAGTATTGTGATATTTATATCCCAGTATTACTGGTTGTCCCATGGTGCCAGGGGTACATAGAGATGTCCCACTATTCGTAGAAGATGTATTTTCAGGCTATTGTATGGTAGTTTTTTTATACTTTATTCCACTATCATATTATCTAAGCCTTAATTATAAAAACAGTGACTAGAATACTGTAAATAAGTGTCTTATTTGCATTTTATATATGGTGAAATATTTATAGAAAGCAGGATATCCCATATCAAGTATTGTGTATACATTTATAATGTTATAAAGACTATATTACTATTGGTAGCATGTACAACAACTTCATTAGCTCATATAACAACTAAGACAGGTCAAACAATAATGTTTATTATCGTGTTTTAAAATCAATTTTACATTTTCTGACATAATGTTCAGACTAACACGATATAATCTTTGGCATATAGTATGCATCATAGCTATACTACAACTTTCACCAAGTGTCTCAAGAAATAGAACAACTCAGTCTACTAATATACTAGCAAAGGAGATATATTCTTGTCATGTCTCCTATCATATACTGTATTTAAATGAAAAAAGAAAGGCATTTGACCTAAGACTTCAGTCAAGTCACACTCAGAAATGCATTCACTGATTGACACCTCTGTATTATGGGATGTCCCTTTATGTGATGGGATATCCCTTGTAAGGACCTGTCACTCTTAAACCTTAGTAATTCAACTGTTAGTATAAATCTCCTAGATAATTATAGTAGTTAAATAGAAACTTCAGGCTAAAGAAAAGACTAAATATCTGTGAATCTTAAAATAACATCTTAGGATGTCCTTAAAATGGGAGATTCCACCTTATATAATATGCAAATAAAGTGCTTGTTTATATCACTATAGTCACTGTTTTTATAATTAAGGCTTAGATAATATGATAGTGGAATAAAGTATAAAAAAACTACCATACAATAGCCAGAAAATACATCTTTTACTAGTAGTGGGACATTCCTATGTACCCCTGGCACCATGGGACAACCAGTAATACTGGAATATAAATATCAATGCTCTAGTACTATAGGACATCCCATATGATAATTGTGCCATTGGATCAGCCTTTGCCCTGCCTTTGCCCTGGGTAATCCCATATAATGCCCTGGGACATGTATTGGTACCATGGTCTGTCTGACACCTGAGAGGCTCTTAGCCACTACACAATATAGATTATGTTGAAGCTAAGAGCTAGGTCAGAAGGGTACCCTGAAGTGCGATATCGGCTGTACTTCAATATACAGCGTGACCACAGAGGCACATGGATGTATATATTAAGTGCAATGCGGGTATGTCAAATGTGGAATACTCCTGTAGTCGTGACCGTTAGCTGTGGGCACAACCATAGGGGCACGCAGATGTTTATATTGAGTGCGATGCAGGTATGTCAAATGTAGCACATCTCTGTGGTTGTGACTGTTAGTTGTGGTCATGATCACAGGAGCACGTGAAAGGAGATGTCCTTACAGTGCGAATACCTATCTGGAGTGCAATGTCTAAATGGTTGAAAATGTCTCATATGGCACACACCTAGAGTTGTGGCTCTTGGTTGCAGTTGTGACCACAGGCATGTGAAAATGTGCATATTGCCTGTGGGGACCCGTATTATAGCGGTCGGCATGATTGTAATTCAGAAGGGCCCATGTTAACAGATGAGTGCAGAGCAGCGAGGTAAGAAGGGGATTTTTTTGACGGTGCATAAAGGGTATTGATATAAGTCACCATCTAGGGGATAGTGAGAGATACAAAAGGGGCCTATCTTCTGCTCCTGTGTATTGATCATCTGCCAAGTGTAGGATGGCTGTAACACTTAGATTACATAATACATAACAGCGCTACTTCAATATACATTAAGATTAGCTTCCACAACTTGTTATAGTCAAATCTGTGCTTTGAGACTATTACCATTGAATTCAGGGCAAAAATTAGACCTAATTCACACCCTGAAACATTAAATTCTGTTGAGGTTTGAGTGAGAAATGACCTCGAAACCAAAAGAAAAATGCTTTGTCAGCGTCCCAATCAGGCAACTGACTTACATAAGGTACCCATGACTCCCCGGGTCATGCTCCCATTTTTTGGGCATTTTTCCGCATTTATTTGAGGTTTCTAACCCCTAAATACACTTGCCTAAATCCGGAAAGTCAGTTGCTGTTCAAGGGCTTCCGCGCGCCCCTGTGGTCGTGCCTGCAACTTACGGTCACGACCACAGGTCCAGCCTCGTCTACGTGCCCTTGCAGATAAGCTACGACGGCACTACAGTGTCTGTGGTTGGGTGGAGTCCCGATCAGTTTGGGGACGGACGCGGGGCAAGGTCGAGCCGCTTACCCAAGAATGAGCCAACGAGGCGACCCGCGGCTACCCTTGCCGCCCACCCAACCAGAGACGAGGTGGCCGGACTCATAGGTTGTAGGTGCTCGACAGGCCTGCAATGTGTCGTGAGGCGATTTGTTCGAACGCACGAATGTAGACTTCATATGCTAGTGAGCGCCAGCGGCCCATGAGGCAGACAATCTCGGGGTCGACTTTCTGAGACAGGAGGAAGGATGCACCTCCAATGCGAAAGGAGTGGCCAAAGGCAGTGCCCCACATCAGGAAAAGTCAACTCTTGGTTAGCTCCCTTATTGCCTTGATTAAGGAGGTCTGCTTCCTTATTTGGACAATCAAGGCAAATAAGGAAAAATAATGATGGAGATCTCCTTAATTTTTTCTTAATCAAGGGAATAATCCAGGTAAGCAAGAGTTGACTTTTGCTGATGCAGCCCCAGGCGGTAAACACTGAGTTGATGAACTTGAGGGCTGTGTCGCGGACCATTGGTCGAGGTTGGCCGAGATGGTCACGCCAAGAGAATAGCGGGTCCTCCTCGCCAGCAGGAACAACATGGGCTAGATTGCACAATGCAGCGATGGGACAGACCTCACCTTGTTCAACAAGGAACATGTGTTGGATTTCCCCAGGTTTGGCTGTCTTGGCGGAAGGTAGGTCAAGGCGAACATAAGGCTTGCCGTCAAGGTCGTGTGCAAAGACTGCATCTCTTTGCTTGAGATGCTGGGTACCAGAGAAGCTTGCTCTGGATTTGACGGACACTTCACCAAAACGCATAAGGCCCCAAAAGGCACAGGATGCCATGGCCCATAGACAGGCTTCAAAAGGATTGTCAAGGTGGAGAGTGCACTTCAAGGCACCAAGCATGTGGAGGGTAACAGGTGGCCGAGGGGGACGAGTTCGGCGTGCCTGCTGCAGGTTCTCAAGTCCACGCAGGGACCACTGGATACGTGCACGATCATCCGGAGACAGTGGTGGTGGCCAACCTTGAGCCAGGTGCCAGGCCCGAACTGCATCAAGATACTTCGAGGCCACTTTGGCAGATATGGGTTCAAACGGTGTGCCATCAGCGAGGGCAAGGTCATTAGCATCGGGTTCAGCCACGGCCCACAGAATGAATGAGTTTAGAAGGGTGAATGAGGCGGAAAGACGGTCAGAGTCGGGTATTGAAAAAATGTCACAGAAGAGGTGAAACTTGCGCAAGCCAGAACCATAGCTGGAGAGTGTGGAGTCTCGCAAGGAGGCACGGGAAGCAACATCTGCAAGGTGTTGTAGCACAGGGTGATGTAAGGTGGATGCTGCAGGGTGGTTGGTGCCACGCCACAAGAAAATGCGCTCGTCGGCGCGGCAATCGGGGCACAGGGTGGATGGGTTCAGGGGAAGGGAGCCAAGGTCTTGCCGAATCCCGGCATCGCCGGCAACGATGGGCGGGAGAATGCGAAAACCATGTGCGGGCATCACAACGATGTTAGTAGATGCTGCAGGTGTGGTGGCAGCAAAAAAGTTGTCTTGGCGGTTGCAGCAGGAAAGCCAGCGAGGAAACCATCGATGTCACCACGTGAGAGTGCATCTGCGACATTGTCGCGACTGGCAACATGCGAGGCAGTAAGGTGGATGCGCTCTGCAGCAAGTAAGGTGTAGATGTGCTGCAGAACTTCGTTGGTCTGGTGACTGCGAGAGCGACCTTTGCGGATGACTTCCACAATACCGCTGTTGTCGGAGCGCACAAGCAGGTTGGCACTGTGGGCTGGGCGGTCGTGCAGGAGGCGATGGTGGAGGGCCAGACGAAGGCCAAGTTCCACGGTGACAGCCTCGGCCCAGCCAATGTCGTGGTTGCACTTCGGCCCAATGGTGACACCAGGTGCCCAATGCCAGACAGCCCAATATTGGCTGACAACTACACCGACACCGAAGGATGTACTCACGTCGCCCCACCAACCGAGGTTGAGAGGTTCAGGTTGCTGCAGAGGCAGTTTGTTGGGCAGCTTCTCCAGCAATGACAGGATGGATGTGAGGTCATTGAGGAGAGGTGCTGGTGCCCAGAGGTGTGCACGAGGTGACCGGAAGTTTATGGCGAAGTGTGACACGGAGCGAAGAAAGGGCCGAACGAGTGGGAACATAGAGGAGACATGAACAAGCTTGCCGTGGAGGTGTGTGGCATCGTATTGTGACATGGGCGATGCGTGCTGAGTCCACTGTGTGAGAAGCGTAATGATGCTGTTGAATTTGTCGGGCGGTAGGGAGACAGTCTTGCACTGAAGGTCCCAGTCGAAGCCAGTAAAGTGTTGATGAAAAGCAAGGGGGCGGGTCTTGGTGTGGCTCCAGGGTACACCGAGCTCTGCAGTTTGGCGAATGAAGTCGTCTTCCGTCCAGTGCTGGTGAGGGAGGCGGATCACGATGAAGTCATCCACCCACTTGCACAGGGGACCATACCCAGATGAGGTGTATATGGCTACAAGCATGTCAGCTACAGCACCGAAGACACCAGCACTGGATGACAAGCCGAAGCACACTGCCCTGTCGATGTATACCTTGCCGCGCCAGTAAATGCATAAGGTGTGCTGTTGCGATGGATGCACGGGGGTGATGCGGTATGCTGCCGATATGTCGAAGGTGGCTGCTTGAGCACCAGGCAGCAAGGATAGGAGCATTGTAGAAACCTTTTCGAAGGTGGCCCACTCGGTGGGAAAGTCGTCGGCATTGACACCGGCATTGACTGAGGGAACGATGGGCTACATAGAAATTTATAAGAGTGAGGAGAGGTCATACACTACGTGACTTTACAGGTAGCGTACATTGTTTCGAGGATAGGATAGGTCCTGCACCAGCTGCAGCTTGTCGGAGTGAGGCTTGGGTACGAGACCCAAGGGGGAAGTGCGAAAAAAACCAATGATGCTCTCTAGATCGGCAGGCTCAAAGCCTTGTGAGTAGCAGCCCGCCGCTTGCTCGCTTGCAATATACTCGTCGATGACAATTGGGTTCTGTATGGGTGACGAGTGGGGCGAGGAATAAGTTAGGTTACAATGAGATTGTATTGGGGTCACATACTGACCAACTCCGACGAACGATGGTTTTCGAAGATAAAAGACCGAGAAAATGGAGTATGTATACCGACATCAAAACCGTGGCAGAGGCCATGAACCAGATGGCTCCATGAGTCGAAAATGTTAAGCTCCCGTAGGCGAGCTTCGATTCGGTCGGGATCTAGAGGTGTGATTACGAAACGAGGGTCAATTGTGGGACCGGGGGCAGGCACTGGCACCATGCTGGGTTGATCCACAGATGCTGCATCCGTGGAAGTTAACACAGGGGTTGAAGCGACAGGTGCCAGCTTTGGCCCATGCAAAGCAGAACGGGTGTCCATTAGGGGCAAGGAGGGCATGTCGGCTGCGCGAGCCAATTGCGATGGGTGCAACAGCGTGGCCGGTGATGGTAACCTGTGCAACACAGTCGGCGGGCAAGTGGCCAGTGCTGCCGCATCGAAAGCAATCAAGGTCAGAGGTGAAAGTACGTGGTTTCTTTCGAAAGGACTACCCATCAAATGGGGCAGAGCCTTTTGGCAGAGGGGCGGAGGCACGCACAATGGCAGTGGCTCCTCGCACGGCTACACGTGTGGCAATGATGTTTAGAGAGTTGTGATCAAATGTGGAAAGGTCATGCTGAGGGTGGCTAGCAGCCGCTTCACGCTGCTGAATATCATACTCGATGGCAATGGGCCAGCTGTGCGTGTAGTTAATGCTGACTACATGAGTATGATGCTTGGCGAAGAAAACGGCACACTTGGGGTGGTGCTTCTCCATTAGCTCGACCATTGTACGTGCAGCGACCAGCCAGTCATCAAGGCTGATCTGCAATTCGGTGGAGCGGTCGAGACCACGAACCGTGAAGCCCTCTTGAGCATTGAGAATAACATCTTCTTCTCCGCGGGCTGCCTTAAGGCGGGCCATCTTGGTGAGGGCAGTGTATGGAACATAGCGGTAGTGCTTAACTGCTTCATCCACTTTGGGAGGTATGGCTACCGAACGAGAAAGGGTCAGCGTGAGAGTTGCTGGAGTGAGGCACAATACGAGAGGAAAGAACGTGAAGGCCATGCTTGGTCTGGTACCAAGTCACGCTACAACAGGTGCCTCATGGGCAGGTGTATACGTGAGAAACGATGACCGGCCTTCAGCATGGAGCGACGTGGATACAAAGAAAACCGACATAGGAACGATGTGTACGAGGGCATGCACGACGCGAGCAGCATGGTTTCGACGATATAGGGAGATGCGATGTGCTAGCGAGATGACTTACGGAGGCTCATAGCATCGACGTGGTAGCTGGGCTGGATCGGTGGCAGGGTAGCAGGGCGATCCTCGCGCAGAGCAGCAGCGGCGGCTTATACGTGAGCAATGTCATCTTCGCCGGCAACCATGAATGCAGCAGCTGCCGGGGCCGGAATGATGAGAGGTTCCATGGCGGCGGGTGCTGTGGGAGGTGCAACTGGTGCAGCAGGAGGCGCTGCGGGAGGCGGCACGGGCGGGTGGGTTGCACTGGCGGTACGGGGGGCGGAATTGGCCAAGGGAGGGGCTCGCCTCGGTGTGGGCGGGGGTGTATTCATCATGGTGGGGGGAGCAAGAAGGGCTCCGCCAGTGCGAGAGGTGGCACCGGTAGCCGTGAGGGGGGGATGGGGGGGTGTGGTGGGAGGGTTTTCGGCGCCCCGCAGTCGGGCGAGGGGGCATGCTTGGCGGTGTCAGCTCATTGGGATGGAGATTAAGGTTGAGCGGGTTAGACATGGAAAAGGGAATACGAGATGAAAGATGAAGACTGTACGGTAAATTAGCTGTGAAGTAAGCTACAGGTGAGGGCATTGTGCACGTCGTTCGAGGAAGAGAAAACTTCACTCGGGCGCTTGTCGCTCGGCTGGACGTTGGGTCCCGACCTCTCAGGTTCGGCCTGCACCCGGCACTAATGGCACCCTCATTATGGTGTTCCCCCGGAACTAATCCAAATTAGGCCACAATCAGCCCAAATTAATTTGCCCTGGCCCAGGATTGAACCAAAACCTTCAGAAACACAGATATTTGTCAACAGTCAACTTAACCACTTGGCCACTAGGCCTCGAGAAATGACTCAACTTCAGCTTACAAGTCCTTTCATGGTTCATCACAGCAGGTAAGTCCGACTTTCTAGTTTTATCAGTACCCATTAGAAGTAATGAAGTCCGCACTTTTGGCCTTACTTCATGCATTTGTAATCAATTCTGATTAGTCTACAAGTCCGGATTATTAGCTTTCTTAGCAACTGTTCGAGGGCAGCCTTCAAGCAATATATGTTCAGACTTTTGGCAGATCTAATAGGTGCTGTGACTTCTAACTAGGCTACAAGCCCAGCTTACAGCAATAATTGTAAAGCATCTTACAAGTCCGAGTTTTTTCATCATTAACACCTCCAGTAGAGCATTATAAGTTCTGATCTACTTGGAGACTTGTCAGTCTACAATTTCGGGTTATTAACTTTGTTAGTAACTATTGTAGGGCTGCCTTTAAGCATTACAAATCCGCACTTTGAGCTTACTTAGTAGGCATTGTAGCAAGTTGTGACTAGATTATAAAGTCACCCTTTTGGCATACTTAGTAGGCATTCTAACAATTTCCAACTGCCCTACAACTCCGAGTTCCTAACTGGTCTACAATTCCGGGTTATTAACTTTGTTAGTAACTATTGTAGAGATGCCTTGAAGCATTACAAATCCGCACTTTTAGTGCACTTAGTAAGCATTGTAGCAACTTGTAACCAGATTATAAAGTCACCCTTTTGGTATGCTTAGTAGGCATTGAAACAATTTCTAACTGCCCTACAACCACTTCAGGGTACCCTTCTGACCTAGCTCTTAGCTTCAACATAATCTATATTGTGTAGTGGCTAAGAGCCTCTCAGGTGTCAGACAGACCATGGTACCAATACATGTCCCAGGGCATTATATGGGATTACCCAGGGCAAAGGCAGGGCAAAGGCTGATCCAATGGCACAATTATCATATGGGATGTCCTATAGTACTAGAGCATCAATATTTATATCCCAGTATTACTGGTTGTCCCATGGTGCCAGGGGTACATAGGAATGTCCCACTATTCGTAAAAGATGTATTTTCAGGCTATTGTATGGTAGTTTTTTTATACTTTATTCCACTATCATATTATCTAAGCCTTAATTATAAAAACAGTGACTAGAATACTGTAAATAAGTGTCTTATTTGCATTTTATATATGGTGAAATATTTATAAAAAGCAGGATATCCCATATCAAGTATTGTGATATTTATATCCCAGTATTACTGGTTGTCCCATGGTGCCAGGGGTACATAGAGATGTCCCACTATTCGTAGAAGATGTATTTTCAGGCTATTGTATGGTAGTTTTTTTATACTTTATTCCACTATCATATTATCTAAGCCTTAATTATAAAAACAGTGACTAGAATACTGTAAATAAGTGTCTTATTTGCATTTTATATATGGTGAAATATTTATAGAAAGCAGGATATCCCATATCAAGTATTGTGTATACATTTATAATGTTATAAAGACTATATTACTATTGGTAGCATGTACAACAACTTCATTAGCTCATATAACAACTAAGACAGGTCAAACAATAATGTTTATTATCGTGTTTTAAAATCAATTTTACATTTTCTGACATAATGTTCAGACTAACACGATATAATCTTTGGCATATAGTATGCATCATAGCTATACTACAACTTTCACCAAGTGTCTCAAGAAATAGAACAACTCAGTCTACTAATATACTAGCAAAGGAGATATATTCTTGTCATGTCTCCTATCATATACTGTATTTAAATGAAAAAAGAAAGGCATTTGACCTAAGACTTCAGTCAAGTCACACTCAGAAATGCATTCACTGATTGACACCTCTGTATTATGGGATGTCCCTTTATGTGATGGGATATCCCTTGTAAGGACCTGTCACTCTTAAACCTTAGTAATTCAACTGTTAGTATAAATCTCCTAGATAATTATAGTAGTTAAATAGAAACTTCAGGCTAAAGAAAAGACTAAATATCTGTGAATCTTAAAATAACATCTTAGGATGTCCTTAAAATGGGAGATTCCACCTTATATAATATGCAAATAAAGTGCTTGTTTATATCACTATAGTCACTGTTTTTATAATTAAGGCTTAGATAATATGATAGTGGAATAAAGTATAAAAAAACTACCATACAATAGCCAGAAAATACATCTTTTACTAGTAGTGGGACATTCCTATGTACCCCTGGCACCATGGGACAACCAGTAATACTGGAATATAAATATCAATGCTCTAGTACTATAGGACATCCCATATGATAATTGTGCCATTGGATCAGCCTTTGCCCTGCCTTTGCCCTGGGTAATCCCATATAATGCCCTGGGACATGTATTGGTACCATGGTCTGTCTGACACCTGAGAGGCTCTTAGCCACTACACAATATAGATTATGTTGAAGCTAAGAGCTAGGTCAGAAGGGTACCCTGAAGTGCTACAACTCTGATTTTTATAAGCACATTTGTAACAGTTTCTAGTACTATTTTTTATAGTGATTCTTACAAGTGCATTTGTAATAGTTTCTAGTCTCATTTTTTGTAGTGATTCTTATATACTCATTTGTTACAGTTTGTAGTCTGATTGTTTGTAGTAATTCTTATAGGTGCATTTGTAACAAATTCTAGTCTCTTTTTTGTAGTGATTCTTATAAGTGAGTTTGTAACAGTTTCTAGTCTCATTTTTTGTAGTTACGATTCCTGAGGTACGAAGTAATCATTCTTATGCAGGATGAGCCCTTAATGAGCGCTTATCTCGTGACGAACTTCTGACCAAACCATGGGAACAAATCTTGACTACAACTTTGTATGGGTGACCTGAGGTTAGGGTTACCTCGAGTTACAAATTTGTATTGGTGACCTGAGATTAGGGTTACGCTCGAACTAACTGCTTTGCTTACTTAACTACAACTTAACTACAGGCGGACATTCAAAACAGTTGTATTGAAAACCGACACGACTTGTACAAATAGCTATCAACAGATGGGCAGCTGTGGCACTTAGATTAGATAACCGATATCGGCTGTACTTCAATATACAGCGTGACCACAGAGGCACATGGATGTATATATTAAGTGCAATGCGGGTATGTCAAATGTGAAATGCTCCTGTAGTCGTGACCGTTAGCTGTGGGCACAACCACAGGGACACACAGATGTTTATATCGAGTGCAATGCGGGTATGTCAAATGTGGCACATCTCTGTGGTTGTGACTGTTAGTTGTGGGCATGATCACAGGGGCACATGAAAGGAGGTGTCCTTACAGTGCGAATACCTATCTGGAGTGCAATGTCTAAATGGTTGAAAATGTCTCATATGGCACACACCTAGAGTTGTGGCTCTTGGTTGCAGTTGTGACCACAGGCATGTGAAAATGTGCATATTGCCTGTGGGGACCTGTATTATAGCGGTCGGTGTGATTGCAATTCAGAAGGGCCCGTGATAACAGACGGGTTGCAAAGCAGCGAGGTGGGAAGGAGATTTTTTTGACGGTGCATGAAGGGTATTGATATAAGTCACCATCTAGGGGATAGTGAGAGATACAAAAGGGGCCTATCTTCTGCTCCTGTGTATTGATCATCTGCCAAGTGTAGGATGGCTGTAACACTTAGATTACATAATACATAACAGCGCTACTTCAATATACATTAAGATTAGCTTCCACAACTTGTTATAGTCAAATCTGTGCTTTGAGACTATTACCATTGAATTCAGGGCAAAAATTAGACCTAATTCACACCCTGAAACATTAAATTCTGTTGAGGTTTGAGTGAGAAATGACCTCGACAGTGCTGAGATAAACCAAAAGAAAAATGCTTTGTCAGCGTCCCAATCAGGCAACTGACTTACATAAGGTACCCATGACTCCCCGGGTCATGCTCCCATTTTTTGGGCATTTTTCCGCATTTATTTGAGGTTTCTAACCCCTAAATACACTTGCCTAAATCCGGAAAGTCAGTTGCCTTTGAAGGGCTTCCGCGCGCCCCTGTGGTTGTGCCCGCAACTTACGGTCACGACCACAGGGGCACCCTCATTAGGGTGTTCCGCCGGAACTAATCCAAATTAGGCGACAATAAACCCAACTTTATTTGCCCTGGCCCAGGATTGAACCAAAACCTTGTGAAACACAAATATTTGCGAGTACCTAACTTAACCACTTGACCACTGGGCTGTCCCAACTTTGCCAACTTCAGCTTACAAGTCATTTCACTGGTTCATTACCTCAGGTAAGGCCAAAAGTGCGAACTTCTAATTCCTTCTAATGGGTACTGATAAAGCTAGAAAGTCGGACTTACTTCATGCATTTGTAATCAATTCTGATTAGTCTACAAGTCCGGATTATTAGCTTTCTTAGCAACTGTTCGAGGGCAGCCTTCAAGCAATATATGTTCAGACTTTTGGCAGATCTAATAGGTGCTGTGACTTCTAACTAGGCTACAAGCCCAGCTTACAGCAATAATTGTAAAGCATCTTACAAGTCCGAGTTTTTTCATCATTAACACCTCCAGTAGAGC